CCTGATCTTAGGACTCCCTGCCTCCATAATGGTGAGAAGATAAACCTCTGTTGTTTATGTCACTTTGTCTATACTACTTTGTTATAGCAGCCTCAATTAAGACATTCAATGATGCAATAAAAACTATGTTAAACTCAGGATTCAGTTACTTTTCCTCTGGGAAATCTCACTCCAGATTATCTGGTCTGCTATACTGCAGGGGAAGTATGAGGGTAGTATTTCTGTTCTTAAGTGCTCCTTTATTTAACAGGGAGCTGTTAAACTAAGGGTCCTCATTAGGGACTTCAAGCAAAATTGCACAGTATTTATTTGAGGAGGGTGCTCAGATTCACTCTTTTAAACACTAACTGTTAAGGTTCTGTGTAGGTCTTATGTCCCAATCTCCTCCTCGAATTCAGAATGAGACGTTAAGTGAAAAGCCTGGAGGACTGTGTGAGCAGAAGTAAGATTTCACTTCTACTCACAGTGGAGAGTCATGCAAGAGAAAGGTGAGAGTAACGAGCTGATCACGTGTATGGAGATAAAAGGTTAAAAATGCGTGAATTCGTTAAGGGATAGGTTTAAATGCAAAGCACAAACAAATAGCTACAAGGTAGATTTATTTGTGTCGCCAAAAGAAGTCCAGAGGTAGGCTGTCCGGGACGGGCATGGTGGCTCCACGGTCATCATGGATCCCAGCTTCCTCTGTCTTCCAGCCTGAAGACCACCTCATGCTCCAAGATGGCTACTGGAGACTCAGCCACCACGGCCACATTTTAGGCAAGAGTCAGATGACGGTGAAGAGAAGCACACAGGATGAGCCTCCCAGCAGACTTAGGTCACTGAAGGAACTTTCCTGGAAATGCCAACAAATGACTTCTGCTTACACATACCTCCCCTCCCGCCCCCCAGCCCTGAGCAATTCTTAACTGCAAAGGAGAATAGGAGTGCAGTACTTCTGCTGTTCACACTGTCACCCCCCAAAAATATGGGTTCCATAAATATAGAAGGAATAACAGATACTGGGCAGCAAATGCATGCTTCTTTTTTAAACAATGCGTCTTATTTTCTGTATTTTACGATGCTTTGATATCTTGGGGCCTGGCAGATCATGGGAGCCACCGCCCCCACCCCACCCCCAAAGGGTAGCTGATTCCTAGAAATAGCAGAGGAGTTGCCCACAAGCGTGCCTTTGATATGCACATCAAGCAGCCCCGAGTTCACAGCCCTCACCAGGACACTCTTCCTCTGCCTGAAATCCTCCCACGGCCAGGCACCTGACACCGAGGGACCACCCACTGCCTACTGAAATGTATTTGAGCTGACTAACTCTAAACTTGTTTGGCTCGCCTATCCTGTCTCACCCGCTCGTTCCCCCAGGAAACCCCTGCCTCCCCCTCGCTCCTGCTGCCTCCTGACTTACCCTGGCACCTCCCCATGTGTACATGGTGTGGCCCATGTCCTCCCCTGAGAACTGCAAGGAAGGAACCCTTCTCTCAAAGACAGCTGCCTCTGTGTCTGTCATCAAACCCTTCCCTGATTACAACCAACCCCGTATCATAAAAACAAGGAGACAACTGGAAATCTTTCCCACAACATGGCTTTTCACAACAGAAAGCTGGAATCCTGGCCACATTTGAAGGGTACCTCACAAAAATCTGCTTACAATGTGTCTGGTGGGAAGAAAAAATGTCACTCTTGCCTCAGCGAGGCTTCTGAACACCAGACTCATTAACCTTCACCCTCCCAAACAAAAGCTAGAAAGCCTACAACTAAACAAAACTAAACTCACTATCTTCCCTCTTCTCAAATCTGATCCCACATCCATGTTCCTTGTTGTTGTTGTTCAGTAGCTAAGTCATGTCCAACTGTTTGTGACCCCATGGACTGCAGCACGTTAGGCTCCCTGAGTTTGCTCAAACTCATGCCCATGGAGTCAGTGATGCCATCCAACCATCTCATCCTCTGTTGCACTCCCCCGCCCCACAGCATGTTGGACACCTGATGACCTGGGGGCCTCATCTTCCAGTGTCTTATGTTTCTTGCCTTTTCATACTGTTGGTGGGGTTCTCAAGGCACAAATACTGGAGTGGCTAGCCATTCCCTCCTCCAGTGGACCACACTTTGTCAGAACTCTCCGCTATGATCTGTCCATCTTGGATGGCCCTACACAGCATGGCTCATAGCTTCAGTGAGTTATGCAAGCCCCTTCGCCACAACAAGGCTGTGATCCATGAAGGGGGATCTTCAAGGCCCCAGTGCCCATGTTCCTTAGTCTCAAATAAAAATGTCACCATCTCCGCAGCTGCCCAAGCAGAAGCTTCAAAATTATCTTCTGACGTTTCTCATACCACCAACACATGTGTTCTGTCACCACTAGATCCTGGGTAGGAGTTACGTGCTCTCTGTGTCCCCAGCTCAGGGCCTCGCACAGGATCTGGCACACAGTAGGCACAAAGATGAATGAGTCCACATGAATCCCATACGGCCGTCATGTCACCTCTCATCCCCACTCTACTAACCCTTCCCAGGCTTATTCAGTAGCTTCCTACTGACCTTTCCACTTTCCTCCTTCTAACCCTTCACCTGTCTCCACAGTTCTTAAAGGACAATTCTGATGAGATGTCCCTGTTGTAAAACCTTCTAGGGCTCCTACTGCCAAAGTTCTCTACAAGCTTCCAACGCCTTTTGCAGTCTACCCTCAAACCACTTTTCACATTTTACCTTTCAATGTTTCACAGACCTTTAAGTTTCTGGACCCCTGTTCGTGATGTTTCCTAATTATTCTCTTCTGGGCCCCGGAGGACTGTCTCTACTGTGACGAGTATCACACTCGACTACACAGCCTCCTGCTTTTGTCCTCCCCACCCAACCCCCACCATCCTGCACCCTGAGTTCCTTCAATGCAGGAGCCCTGTTATATTCAGCCTTATGTCCTGGCTGCATGGATGCATGCATATGACAGACGCCCACATGGCTTCTGAGTTTAAAAAGATACCCAGGTTAATGGAAAATAGCCATAGAAGATTAACAACAAAGCAAAGAAAAAAGAATGACCAAAGTGGAATATGTGCTCAGTAACCCATGGGTGTTGATAATACAACCACAAAAAGGTAAAGTACAATAAACTGAAATGCCCTCTAAGGATCCCATGAGACTCAGTGAGATGGACACGGTGACTGGAAGAGAAATACACCTTATTTAAAATAACTGCAACAACAGTAATAACATCCAGTATGTACTGAGCACTTGATGCAGTTACTATGTGCATCAAGTAAATAAGTTACATGTATTATTATTACATCATGTAATACATTACATGATGTAATAATACATCACACATATTATTAAGTTACATGTATTAATAATGTATATATTAATAATAAGTTAACATTTATAATAAATTGGTTAACTTAATAAATTAATTTATTAACCTAATAAGTTAATATTAATAAATAATGTTATTAATAATAAATGAGTTACACATGTTATTATTACATCATGTAAATAAGTTACACATATTATTTACTATGTTCTTCACAGCAGGGCCATAAAAGTAGGACTACTATTACCCCTGGTTTATTCATAGGAAAACAAAACAACAAAAATCATGGCATGGAAAGTTAGGAAACTCACCAGAGTTCACTCATCTGCTCTGACCAAAGCAGAGATTCAAATGCAGGCTCTCTGATTGCACAGCCTTCAGTGAACTATATGACAGACCAGTTTCTTCCCCAAATGACAGGTAGAGGAGAAAAACAAGAAAGTGTCAAGATGTACACCAATACGGACAAGCAGGACTCTGAGGTTCAAAGGATGGCAGAGAGCTAATGGATGAACAGTAAAGAGAGAATGAGAGGGGACATCAGTGATACTGGTGCCAGCCAAAAGTCTCACTCTCTAAAAAGTAAGCCTGACAAATTCTTGAACAATCTTCCAGACAATCTCAACACTCAGTAGGAAGGAAACAACTGGAGGAAACAATAAAAGGAGCAGACACCCTGAACTTACTTTAACCAGTAAGGAGACACTGCTTGATGAAAAAGAAGAATATGTAAAGATAACCTGGTAGGGAAATTAACTGTGACTTATTTTCCTGTGGGAATCATTAAACTGAAAACGAGAACGAATACTGAAGAGGTGGCGGTATTTCTCCACCACTCATAATTCCTCCCCCACTAAAGCCTAGAAGGTACGGGATCCTGGTGTGATTCAGACACACCATGCACAGGGCTCCAGGCAGAAGTCAGCAGCGGGGTTCTGGTTACTCAAGGCCAACAGGAGTGGGAAGGAAGCTGTGCTGTGCTGTGCCTAGTTACTGTCATTTCTGACTCTTTGTGACCCCATGGACTGCAGTCCACCAGGCTCCTCTGTCCCTGGGATTCTCCAGGCAAGAATACCAGAGGGGTTGCCATGCCTTCCTCCAGGGGAATCTTCCCAACCCAGGGATCAAACCCAGGTCTTCTGCACTGCAGGTGGATTCTTCACCGACTGCGCCACCAGGGAAGCCCAGGAATACTAGTGAGGGTAGCCTATCCCTTCTCCAGTGGATCTTCCCAACCCAGGAATCGAACTGGGGTCTCCTGCACTGCAGGTGGATTCTTTACCAGCTGAGCTACAGGGAAGCCCCGAAGGAGGCTGTGAGCAGAAAGCAAACTGCAAACCTCATGTATCCAAGTTCAAACCCCTGATGTGCCTCTTAGGAGCTGCACCACTTTGACGTGTGTCTTAAATCTCTCAATTTCAAGTTTCCTCACCTGTAAAATGGGGTAATACGACCTACTTCTAAGCGTCGTAGTTAAACGACTCAATAGTAAAAAGTACTTAGCTCAGGGCCTGGTGTGCAGCCACTAATGTGATTACTGTTCCCTTGTAAGATATTTCTCTGTAACTCACTAACCTTGTGACGATCTCTTGTTTTCTATGATGATTTGCTTGCTGTTACTCCCGCCAATCTTCAGGGCATATAATGCAAACCCTAACAGCAAAACAAGTAAGGTGATCCTGCCCTCATTTGCATGTCAATGTCTCAGTGCAGTCTGAAGGAACAACACAAATTTACAAAGCCCTAAACCATCACTGCACTGGGCTGGGCTGGACAAGGGTAAAAGGGCAGTCTGAGTAAAAGACAACCCTGCCCTCAAGGACTGCACATTATCTTTTAGGAACAATGAGAAATTACCATTAATTTCCCCAGCTACAAAGGTTAGGCTGAAACCCAGTTGGCAACGGCAGGTAATCCCCAAAAGCCACAGAAACATGTCTTTGATGATTCTGGATGTCTTTGGACAAGTAAGCACCCAGTGATTTTTAAGAAAAGGATGACTCTCTGAGAACTGCACCTCGCAGCAAATAGTGGATCTCATATGTGATAGTCTTTAAAGTCAGCCCTTCCAGGCTATATATACTTAAAGGGGAGAATACAAGAAAAAAAAGATAACATGTCTAAGCATGAGATGGTACTAGCTTAATGTGAACGAGAGCAAGCCTGGCTTGGAAATAATGGAAAAGCTTTTTTTCCCCAAAAAAATGTAAACAGCTTTATTTCTTATTATAAAAGTAATACATACTTCAATGCTTAAAAAAAAAAAAGAATATACAAAAGTGTAAAGTAAATCATATACAATCTTCCCATTCAGAAATCATCAGAACATTTTGTTTTTTCTCCTTCTAGACTTCTTGAGGTATACATCTATTATCAATTACTTCTCTTTCAACTACGGGATATAGTTTCAAACCACACATGCTGTCTGACACTTTTTCTCCCATACTTCCATGTATCATACTCATCATTAAACTAACACGGAATCCCAAAATCAAAGTCACAGAGCAGTCTTCTATAGGTACATTCCCTGACATTGTAAGACCATGAAATAAGGAAAGGCAGGACACAAAACTAGAAGACCCCTATGGTCTGTGACTGCTATCGGATTCTCCGTCTCCTCTGAGACCAGCCTGGGGACAGCAGGAAGTTTCTCAGCAGCTGGGGCTGCCTGCAGGGGAGGGCAGAGTTGATGCTCCTGCAGCCCAGCAGCTTGTGGACACCAGGTCTGTAGCACCACGTGCACGCTGAGGCCTCTGCCCTGAACACCTGACTCTGAAAGCCCTGCTGCCCACGTCAGAACCTCTCGAGTGAACTCCAGTGGGAGTCTGCAGAAGAGCCCCTCAGCTCACAGGGTCCTGGCGGACACTGTCTCTGGCCCCTGCACCCAGACTCAGAATCACCTGGCAATTAAGCTGTTTTGTTCACCATGTCACTTTCCCAAAGCACAGATTCATCACCCAGTTTAAACAGGAATACTTATATGCATGACCTCTTACAACTTTGAAGGAGCATAAAAGTAGCTTCGCTGAGGACAATAAAAAGTTGCCCCAAAAACAAATTTTATGTACTTTACAATTTTGCTTTAAGGAATGTGGGGTCAGGAGTGGGTAGGTACTGCAACATCAGAGTGTTAATGTGGGAGCCAAGAGGGCAGATGCAACATGCTGATTAATGGTCCCAGTCACAGGAAAAAAGAAAAGAAAAAGGTGGCTGAAAAAAAAAATTAAATTTAAAGACGGTTGATACGAGGAAACAGTAATTTTCTCCCATATCTTGGCATGGAAAGGATAAACTAAGGAACTCCAATTTTCCCTAGCCAAACTGTGGTGTGAGTACAAAAAGCTGCTGAAGTGTGTAGAAGTTGCCTTAAAACAGCCAAGGGCCCATAAAACCACGTGTGAATGCGGTTCTTGTTTAAGTCCAGCAGATGTACGCTCCAGTGAGCACCACACTCTGAGGTGGGGGAGAGGACACACAGCCTGGGACACAAATAACCAGGCTGGGCTAGAGGCGGAGCTGGAGCCTGAGAACAGGGACGTCTACCGGGTAACCCGACAACCTGCCCAGCAGCGGCCAGCCTCTGTAACACAGCAGCGAACGAGCACACACTCCTGGGAGGGACTGATGCCAACTTCAACACGTACAGGACGCATTTAAAACAGAGTTTATTTCATTTAATCATTACTAGTAAATTGTTAGTGCTCTGTGTTAGAATCTTATAATGAAAGTGACTGTGTGCACACAAGTGTACACAGTATGGACAGCAGGAAACCATGTAGAAAAACTAAAGGGAAATGTCATACCTGGGGCGCTAACCTAGAGATGCACTGCCAGAGGGGGCTCCCTAAAAAGAGAGAGCTCCGGATGAGACTAAAAGGACAGAGAATAGGGGCTTAGAAAGAAAGAAAATAGTGTGAAACCAGAGCCCCTGTATCACCTCCTGGAGATGAACAATTTCATCCCCAGTTGCACTTTAGGTCTTTACCGCTGGTAAACTGTTTCATAAATGCTACTAGTGAAACTGTCCAAAAACGAAAGATGGGACTAAGGTAGCTTAGTCTTGAAGCTATTTAGGTTAGATACTAACTGCTGCTCAGCAAACCCCTTCACTTTGGGCTAAAAGCTCATTATCCTATTGGGATCATTCACATGTCAACATTTATTGCCTACTCTGTGCAAAGCACTGGTTAAACACACAAGTACACAAAGAAGATACAGCCCTTGCCTTCTGGTCTATAAACCAGATAAGGAAATCAGTATCTGCAACCATGGGCTAGTGCTCAAAAACACTGTGGTGGTTGACTCAATGCTATAATAGAAGTATGCACAAAAAAGCGGGGGTGGGGGTCAGGGGGCCTTCCCAAAGGACATTCATCCCTTTCATAACATGGATGAACCTAAAAGTTCACAATTTTGCACACAGAAACCTTCTCTTAAAGAATAAACAATCAGTGAATACCATTAACAGGCAGGAGCTATCAGAGTTCATGACACAAAAAGGGGAAGGGGAGTGAGAGTCAGGAAAATGTTATCACTCATTTTATAATGAAGAGTATTTTAATTCTTGTCCTTAGGAACTATAAACACTAGCATGATTTGGAAATGAGACTGTACCAAACACCGGCCAGAGAAGAATCGTCCAGTCTACGGCTTCTCTTTCATCTGGTCACTCAGAAATATAATATTATCTGTAAAGAAGCCAAAGCACAAATGTTATTTTCAGAACTCTTTCTCCACCTCACTTAATCATTCCCTTCTACCACATACATATTTTAGTGCTATTCACCAAAGAGACTTTAGACAATTCTCAAAATACTAGGTTCCTGCTGAGAAGGGGGCAACAGAGGATGAGATGGTTGGATGGTATCACCAATTCGACAGACATGCATTTGAGCAAGCTCCGGGAATCGGTGATGGACGGGAAAGCCTGGTGTGCTGCAGTTCACGGGGTCACAGAGTTGAATACGGCTGAGTGACTGAACTAACTGATGTTCCTGACAGGTATTTACGATGGGCATAATGGAGGTAACAGCTGGGCTTTGACGGTTTATCAGTAATTCAGACCTTGTGAGAAAAGGTGGGATACTTCTTGTCTTCCCTGAAGGTAGCAAAGGTCTTCTTAGTAGTAACTTTCTACAAAAGAGCTAGTCACACACTTGGATGCTTGGAACACTCAGACAGATGCCAGTAAACCAAGGAGCACATCCTCACACAGAAGAGGGTCACGGCATCACATACCACATGCTGGAGGGAAGAGGGAAGGACGGGGTTCAATATGGCCCCATCAGGACAGAGACCTATTTGTGTTTTTTAAGTCTGAACACTCATACGGAACACACGGTATTTCTAAATTTCAAAACAAAATGAGTTTTACACATTTATTCCTGGGAAATTTTCTAGTAATCAATATTTCAGAGGGAGCATTTTTATCCAAAAACATCAGACACTGCTCCTAAAAGGTTGTCCAGAAACAATTAGTTTAGGACAAGCAAAGGAAAAGCAGTACCTTCTACAAAATACCAAAACACTGACATTCTTAAAACTTTAGAATTATCCCAAAAATGGTTACTATACAATAACTGAGTATTTCTTCATGACTATAGTCTTCTAAAACTAGAGTATTTTGGTATAGAATAGTTATTTCAGAAGAGATTATCCAAGTTGACATCACTATGTAAAAAGATGAGACTGCCACCTGCTGGTGGCTATTTTTAAATTACATTGATTTCTAGGAGGAAAAAATATATAGCCCATAAAACAGATGAGCCAAATTATACTCTATTCCCTTCCATCCTAAAGGCACTAAAGACCTATTCATTTTACTATTAGCCATAAACCTATGTTAATTGCTTAATCATCCATGCTGGTGAATAATAGTGACAAGAAAAAAATGGCAGATAATTTGAAATGTTTCTCTTTGACCTGGTTTATAAAACTTCAATTTAAATTTGAAATTTGTCCACACAATATGTTTACAGTAGAAGATCAAAGTATTAAATGCTTCATAAATATGTCAACTATTTTATTAGACAGCTTGATTTTCCATTGCTGAAATCCCAGGCATAGTTTTATACCATACACAGGTCTGGAAAAAAATTTTTGAACAGGTAGATACCTCTGCAAGAATAAGCCAAGGAAGACGGCAGGCAGGAAGTGATTTACTCAAGACACTCAAGAAATATGAAAGCAAACTGGTCAGAAAGAACCTTCTCTTAAGTTTAATAATGAGGGGAGGAAGATACCTATATTGGTTCTCAAGGTCAATATACTTTCAAGAAAGCAGTAAGAAAATATATGCTTATTATTTATAACAAATTATAATTTATCAATAAAACATAGTAGTTAAGACATGAACTCTGGAACAAGTAAAAAGAGAAAAAGGAAAATCTGTCAGAAGACTTAAGTTCTCAGACTTTTAGCCTCCCAAATCTAAATTCTTTTTTTTTTTTAATGAGACTTAAGATATACATAAACCATGTAATATAACGTATAGATTGCTGTTCATGAAGCAAGCAAAAAAATTTCAATACTATCACATCTAGTAAAAGGTAAATTTAACAATGAGTTCTTAATACTAGCTCTGATAATAGCACTATAAAGAGGAATCCATACATTTCAAAGACACCTACTGAAATATTTATGGATGATACGTCTCAAGATTCACTCAAAATGATCCAGGTGGGGGAAAAGTGGGCTGGGGCATAGATGAAATAATATTTGCTATCTGCTAACTGTTGAAGCTGCATGATGGGAGTTTTTGTTTTTCACTCCTCTCTCCTTTTGTGTATGTTTAACATTTTCCATAATAAAAAATTAACTTTTAAATATCTAATTTTGGCATATCTCTGAAGTTCATAAATAGCTCTTTCATTCTCATCAACTTATTTAAGAAAATAGTTTCTTGAGTTTTATATCCATAAAAAACAAGAAAACAGAATGAATGTTTAATAACTTTTATTTTAGCAATGAATCCAAAAGACAAAAAATGCATCATCTATCTCATTAAGACACATTTTCAATAAAATGTTATAGCTTTGGTAC